TTGGAAGAAAGTTAGGGGCGACCAAACCAAAACGTGGCATCAGTGCTTGAAGTCACTAACTTCTGGTCTGAGCCATGTTGGGAGATTCAGACTGCCTGGTTGGGGTCCGCGTGACTATCGTAACCAATCGTTGGAGACTCTTGGTGACATGGCTCAGAATCGATCACAATGGCGTCGGTGTATACACTCTCTGTCTTCCTTAAATTAAGAGATTAAAATCGCTTCATATCTGTCTAGGAACTAATTCTTTCTTCCTTTACTATCTCCTTATACACAATCTTTCTTCTATATATTACCACCACCGAATTAACTACTCCTATGAATCCGGTGTTCATCTTGTTGTGCTAATGCGGTATGGCAACTTGGACCGATGCATATACGTGCCTGGTCCTACGTTGTAACTGACTGACTGACCATGATCAACTGAAGTGGAAGTAATGAAACTCACTAATTACGTATAAGTCTTGCACGAAACTTCATGTCTTACTTAGTCTGTAAATGTCAACTTGATAGACGGAACTTTTTGGAAATCTAGCTTTTAAAACCATGATTTACAGCTCTATTAGCGTACATTAATCTAAACATGAATACCATAACGTTTTTAGCAAATGTCGTAGACGATAATTTATCCACAATCTGTTCTACAAAACGATGACTCACTACATTTTGACCCAATGAACCCCTAATTAGGGATGCTACAAACAGAATCTTGGTCGATGGTTTGAGTGCTCACTAAAATTGGAATTATAACTATTAGGGCACGACTCAAGTGAGTGGTCATTTATTTTTAGAAGTAAAGTGCTCCTTACAACCATTGAGAAAATCAAAGTGATCTTACCAAATAGCTCAATGTTTTAGTAGTTTTAGGGAAAAACCTGAATATATCAGTAAATATAAAATACCAATAGACAGTGTGGCTTAATCTCAGTGAATCAGTCATACGCAACGTAGAACCTCGTACATATATGCATCGTTTCAACTTGCCACACTATATTAGTATAATGTGACGAAAATGTCGAAAATCAAAGACCAAACACAGACAATGTTTCGAGAAATAATGAATTTGCGGGACCAAAGGGCATGAGGAGATTTTGGAACTCCATCTATCTTGTAACAGTAAATGTGGACAGTGAAAATTCCCATACTAATAGTAATCCTGTGCTCAGTAGTGACCAACTTCTGAATGGAATTCAGAGTCCGAATGAGAAGCCATGCGGTTCAACCAAGTCCAGTACAACACAGTTATCCACCACTAGCAATGAAAGATGATTGTACGATATTGTAAATTGATTGAAGCTAGATGTTCACCGTTAGGTTCTGGTTGTGGTTAAGAGGTTAGGCGTTCGTGCGGTAAGTTGAATGTCCTGGGTTTCAAACCCTACGCTATTCGTGGGGGTGTGCTGTTGAAGAATCTCATACTAGGATGAAACATCCATCCACTGCTTCCTGATTTTTAGTGACGGTTAAACATAAAATAGTTTGTGAAAACCTAATAATCTTGTCAGTCAGCTACAACGCAGGACAGGGTACATTTATGCATCGGTCCAAGTTGCCATACCGCATTAGCACAACACGATAAACACCAAATTTATAGTAGTCACTTTAATGGTAGTAATATATAAAAGAAGGATTGTATATAAGGACATGATAAAGGAAAAAAGAATTAGTTCGTAGAAAGAAAGTTATGAAGCAATTTTAATCTCACGGTTTAAGGGAAGACAAAGAGTGTATACACCGATGCGATTGTAATCGATTCTGAGCCATGTCATTCAGAGTCTCCAACCATTGATTACAATAGTTGCGCGGACCCCAACCAAGTAGTCTTCATCTACCGACATGGTTCAAACTACAAGTTAATGGTTTCAAGCACTGATGCCATGTTTTGGTTTGGCCGCCCCTAAATTTCTTCCATCTGTTTCCAACACTAATCAGCATTGCACGTTGTGGTAGACGGTGTTCAGGCCTACGTGACACATGGTCCATCTATCTTAGTCGATGAAGATTTACGACCTCGTCAACTGATTTACCATCATTCCCTAATACTTTGTGTCAAACCTCACTATTACTTACCTGGTGATCCCAGCATTATTTCTAAGGCATCTGTGGTCAAACACTAGTAGCTTCCGAGCATCTTCTACTCTTACTGGCCACGTTTCGCAGCCGTAAAATAGAACGGAACAAACTGCCGCGCAGTACACTCATCCCTTAATTGATAGACGGATATCTTGCCTTCGCCATAGGTCACGTAAGTTGGCAAAAGCCAAACGAGCTTTTCGAATCCGTGTTGAGATTTCGTCTTACACCAATCCATTTGGGCTGATCAGACTTTCAAGATAAGTGAAGTTATCAACGCGTTCGACTACTTCACTTCCCAACTTTAGTTCAGGTGTTTACGCAGGCAGGTCGTGGAGCAACAACTTGTATTTAGAGGGGGAGAAGAGCATCCCAAACATCCTGACATTGTTGCTCAGAGCTACCGAAAAACTCTGCATTTTATCAGCGTCTTCACCAAACAGGATTACGTCATCTGCGTATTCAAAGTAGATAAGTGGACCTCTTGGTAGGAGATCAATGCCTAAAAATTCAGTGGACGAGAACGTTGTTTCCATCAGTAGGTCTATGATAAAGTTTAACAAAAATAGAGATAGTGAACAGCCTTGAAGGATGTCACTTGAAGTTGCAAAAGCAGATGACAGTTCTTCATAAGCTCTAACTCGACTAGTAGTGTCCAAGCAGAGCCTTCACAAGGTTTATGTACTTCTGAGGTAAGCCTTTCAATGACAGACAATTCCAGAGAATCTCTTGGTCTACGGAGTTAAATACTGCTTCTAAGTCAAGAAAGACCACCATTATCGGACGCCGATAAGCATGTCTGTGTTCTAGAACCTGACGAATATTGACTATGTGGTAGATGCCGTCACGACCAGTTCTAAAGCCAGTCTGATTTTCTCGTGTTGGCAGTTCACGAATCTTTGTTAGGCGCCCAATAATTATTAAGGCTAGTATTTTAGATGCTATGCTTCGGTTTGGGCAACCGGGCAGTATCACAGCCCTCACACATATCAAATGAGATCTGTGTGGCGCATATGTATTTGGTGCCTTCTTGTACCGATATCTATGTGTTAAAATAAATAAATAAATAAATTTAGATGCTATGTTAGTCAATCTAATCCCTTCATGGTTATCGCAGGATGATTTTGACCCCCTCTTATATATTTAGACAATCAGTGATTGTGACCAGTCAGATGGGATTACGTCCAACTCCCAGATCTTAGCTAAAATACTAGTCAACCTAATCGCTAAAACTGGACCACCATGCTTAAAGACCTATGGAGCCAACTCATCTGGACCAGTTGCTCTTCCTCGTTTCAGATTAGTTATAGCTTTTTGAACTTCAGCCAAGGTCAAGGGATCTAATAATCTTGTAGAAACCCTGTCGTAATTTCCGGTTATTTTGTATATCCATTCTCCTGAGCAGCGTTTAAAAGATATGAGCCAAATTCTCAAGTCAATGGTATAATTTCAATATGGTTGATTATTTCGTACTCACAATTTATTGTGAACTTTAACCAGTGCATACATATACGTATATGCTTGTTTGATGATCTCTCATTGGATCCAGACACTATATTTCGGTTTAGACATTTTTTACACACAAGTACGGTGATTTATACTTACATACTTAAATTTCATTCATTCACCCGTTCTATTTTCCTGACCGCTTTGCTTGAGGACAAGCTTGTTTGGAATATAACAAAGCTAACAAAACTTTGCATTGCGACTTGTTTATTATTATACCAGAATCAAACGTTACCACTGTGTTCAAGTTAACAAATCATGCGTTAGTAACAAGGATCGAGCAAGATACTTACAATATCTACAAACCTCCTATGCTAGCACACTGGATTGTGATGATTCCAAGACCAGCTCGATAATATGGAGTACCCACATGAATCATAAATATTATTTAGAAAGGCGACATATTAAAAATCAGTGAAGAGAACAATCATTCTAACAAAATAATTAGATAGAAATGTGCGGATTATTGGTTATGTACAAATTCGTATACCCAGCTGTGAATCAAACGTAATATACTGGATACTAAAAAAGTGACTGATATTACCTACATCACTTAACTGAACGCTTATTTATATCGATGAATTAGGTAGAAGTGGGTATATGCTCAAGCACAACTCAGCCAGTTGATAAACCTGTTAAGAGCTGCCAGAAAATCCCGATAAACTTCCGAAACGAAATTTCGGTATACAACTAAAATGGTTACTTAACATGAATAACTGTATTTTCGAGCAGTTTGGCTACTAAAAATTGAGTTTTAAAAGCACATTACGATGAGAAAGAGATAGGAAAGTGAAGTGTAGACCAAAATATCTCCATCTGCTCCACGTAGTGTGGATTAAGTTAATCCTCCCATATTACGGATAACATAACCCATAAATACACATAAAAGAACTGCGAAGTGAATCAAAATGAATGTCTACTTCGCCTTCTCTAGTGTTAAGGCGCACTATTTTTGCAAGGCTCTTCTCTTTTCTTGAAGTGTCAAATGGATTTCTTCCATATGTTGGACGAGAATAATTTACTAACGTTAAGAAGCAAACAGGGATAAACTAAAAGGTTATCGTTCCTAAAAGGCACTTGACAGTCATAGCAGAATGACAAATAAATAGCGTTAATCCGATGAATAGTAGATAAAGACTGCAAAGATTCACAGTGTGCTTCAATAAAGATGATTCACGAAAAGTAATGTGCATCTAAGCTGTGACTACTGGTCACAACCTGACACAATGCTCTTGGATGACATTTTTAGCCGATTTAAAACAAACGAACTAATAAGATCGTAGTGACTAAATATAATGCCGTTCGTTGGCGAAAATTCATGACTGGACACTTTATAGTTTACCAGTCCATCCTATTTCACTTCAGGCTCTAAAAGCCTGATTCTTCACTTATGGAATCATGGATATTGCAAAATAGACAACCTGTGATCCTAATTGGCCGTCACTGTTGATCCCACAGCCGTAGACGCCAAAATCCCCATGATTTCCCCCACATATGTATGTTGTGAAGCCATATCCACAAGCAGCTTTTAACGGAACACCTAAAGACGACGAATGTCTCAAAGGCGTAGGCCGTGATACACCTCCAACACCAGGTTTACCTAATTACGATATCAGAAAGATTAACATAACAAGTACAAACCATGAAGACCAAGATATTCCTGATTACCGAGAGCTCCAGTTGCTGAGATACCAAAAACGTAAACTTGCTTTGACTTCAAAGCTTCCCTTGAATGGACGTCATAAACTACAGAATCTCTGCTTCTTTGTCGATGAAGTGATTTCTTAGATCCATGAGCTACACTCAGGGTCCAAAACGAACTTTTCGAAACCACCGCGAGCAAAGGTCGAGTCATTTATACTTCGAGCCTTAGAATCTGCCAGATAGAAGTAGAGAACTGATCGTTTAAATCTTTATTTGAGTAATAAGAGATTACTCTATGTTAGAGAATGATAAAATTCCTTCTATATTGTATTAATTTTGATACCTATTACTCATGCTTAAATTTAAATCTGTACTTGTTCAATTTCTTCGTGTGTACCAGAATTGTATGAGTATGTTTCACACAACTCCATCAACTATTAGTTCTCTTTGTTCGACTTTTGGGCTTCGCTTGCTTGTTGTAGACTGTTATAATAAACCAATTTATACTTCACGTTCTTGGTCGTTCTGGTTTACGTATTCGATGGTGACTGTTGTCTGCTTTCAGACGCTATTATAGGTCGTGAACACAAAGTTTTCGTAGCAGATAATGTGATCAGAAATTGTGAGTTATGTGAATCTTCAAACTGGAGGGGCTATGATATTTTTTATGGAAGACTGGACAAACAAGAAACACCTAGAATAATACCCCTCAATGTCCACAGGACCTGGGTAAGAGTCGAACCTTCTTTTGAAGAATTTTACAGAGCGTGCCATCGCTATAACTTCGGATGGGAAGTTCCAGGACTTCGTGATTCTGTCAGGGAAAATTTTACGTGAAATTTTAAGCCAATCTTTCATCTCCTGTCCTCAACGAGTGATTTCTTAAATCTATTTTGTTATTGAAAGTTGCAGGTAGTCTATTGGGGGTAAAGGTGACTATAGAGGACATAATATACCATGGCCACATCCTTTGATCCGTCTGTACTGAATGGGTTGCAAATTTATAGCCTACATGCGATATGATACTGCTTTATTTTTCATTACGGGTAACTTTTTGGTTGCTCTTCCTTGAACTTGTAGACCGCAAATAAATTCATAAGACAAATAGTCTCTGACATTGATACTGACCTCACTAGTTTTACTGGATAAACTTAGCTAAGAGCGTTCGATTGCCCATCTGCATCAGATCACCAGCAGGTAAGCTTTGATACGCATCAATTGCAACTAATAACCAGCATAAACCAAATTCTTCTCGACATATCAGTAACTTTCCAGACACATCTTTAAACCTCATTTCTGACTTCTGATTTGCCTGGGTTTCTATAGTTCGAAAAGTCAGAGTATCAGAAGGACTTAGTATTTCCCTACACGTCTTAAGATCATATACAGATAGCAGAGTTTAGAAACCAAGGACGAAAGGTGAGTCACTAGTATTTAACGTAGTGAGTAGTCTAAACATCGTACCTAATTCTAGGAAATCGACTCTAATGAAATATGCATCTTGGTCAACCAAAAAGTGTTTTAGGCCGACTTTGTTCCATTCTGGTGAATTTAGAAACCTTAAAATAACGTTGCTTGGTCGTCCATATACGAATTATTCGGATGAACCAATTAGTGTATTAATCAGTGAACTGACTTATTTGACTTTAAATAGAGTAGAATAAATAGGCATCCAAACATAAACACTGATGATACGGACATATACACAGCATGAAACGAAATAGGTTCAACGCAGATGATGCAGCTACAAAGATGTCTTTAAGAACTTTTCGTGTGGTTAAGGGACCACAAGAGTACTCATATTGTGTTAGTAGCGTTGAAGTTTTGGGACAAAGATAATCATAATTACCCTTTTTACGCACAATATCTGGTTTTCCTTGCTTTTAGCTCATTAGATTTCTATGTCCTCGAAAGTATTATATATATATATATATATATATATATATATATATAAAGTCGTGTCGACTCATGCTCTATTGCTTTTCCAACCTCGAATATAATGTTTTTAACAGACCATCTCTCTATGTTAACATTTAAGTGTTGATATAATGTGAGTAGGTTGCTGTCATTGCTTACGGACAGAACGTAGTAAATTAAACGTCGTAGGTCTGTAATAAACATTCAAAAAACAAGATATAACGCGAAATTGATAAGCAAATGACTAATACTAAGCTTTAGAATACTGTTTTGTAGACCTATTCTCCAGTTTCTAGGGTCGGAGGCAAACGACTGAACATAAAACCATGTTATTATCAAAAATAGCGTGATGCAACTTGTTGGACCGGATAATAGCTGTATTTAGCCAGTAAGTTACTGAGAAATCCAATAGACAGTAATAATAATCAACAACTTTGTTGCTACAAATTGGTGTGCTCTTAAAGGTATTATGAATATTCAAATCATAACAACTCTGTTGTCCGTGATATCCTTTTAATCGAGAATTTCAAATTCAGTCAAACTAAAAGTCGATTATGAATGTGTTCGAAGAAATATTTGAAACGTTTTTGATATGTTAAAGAGCGTTTGATCGAAGCTGTTGCGAGAAATGCATAACGTGGCGCACCTTTATTATTATGGTCTATTTCGTAATTGTTACTGCTCTAGTAATAGACCTAATGCTAAAACTGTAGATTTGTCATGATGTAACTGCCTAATCTCTAAGATCCTACGTGGAAGTCACATCATTGTCTACACCAACTCATCGCATTGTAGCAACCACGAATATTTGATGGAGAACACATTTAAGCTGGAGATAGAACAATATATTTAATGCGAATAGAAGTAATGTTACGTGAGTATGACCACACCTAGATGGTCGAGCCATGCCATCCGATGAATTAATTTTCGGATGAATGTTACCGGGTCCAACATTATTGACCTTCTCTTAGTTCTACATGTTAAAAGTCTATTTTCTCAGTTATCTCACGCTCAGCTTTGAGGATTATAGTTAGGATCCAATGCTACTACATACCCAATGGCAATCTGTAACGAATGGGTGACCACACACCTCCAGACATGGTTTATCCAGCAAGCCGAACTATGTCAGCATCAATATCGAAGTCCTACATAACTTTGTCCAGGAGATTTATTTACCGTTACACTCCTATCAACCTTGTCCCAACCATAGTGAACATGTACACCGATCAGCCTATGAATAAGCATCAAGAAAACTTACTTCAGCATAAAGTGACAAACGTCATTGGTTCCAAATTTCCAAATACAAAACGATCAACAAGTTTAGTATGATTCATTTTTCATATGGTCTGATTAGCTCTTTACAGACTCAGAATGAGATAGACTCATATAATGTTACAAGAACAACTAAAAGCTTTATGATAGTCTGCTTGGTATTCTGAAACCAGTAGATAAACTACTCTAATCAGTTAGGGCTGCTGTGAACACTAGGTGATTACCTGCCCAGATTAATGAGTTTACGAAATATATGTATTCGAATATTCATTCTCGTATTTGACTTATTGAATTCCATCATACAGTAATACGATCTAGGTCGATAGTTATATACGAAGATTGAAGATATACACACTTCAACAGCAATCATTCATACGATCCAATCAAAGTTAGACATCGGGCCACTAAAGTCCAGCTTTCCATTCCTTATTCGACATATTTCGTCTTGTTACTTGTCACACACTGCACGGGCTACAAAATGTAAGCCTGGGCGGTGTCTGGCTCTCCTGAAAACTAATGTAAAAATACCCTTGGGTACACAAGGGTATATTATATAACTATACTTGTCACACTTCGTTATTCTCCACTAATTTATTTCCTACAGTCGGCCACAATTTATTCTGATGATATCAGCTAGTATATATATATATATATATATATATATATATATATATATATATATATATAGCTAGTGTATACGATTAAGTATTCTTGGGAGTTCGTATTCGATTTCCTTGCCGCTTGTCTTTTATACTTTATTTTTTCAGTACTACGTTTACAGTACACAGCCATGGAGCTTCTTCTCATGTTCAGAACACAAACCTAACGTGCGCGCTTGTCGAAGTCACACCCTATACTAAATGCCTTCGCATCGTTAAACCATGGTAACTGCAAACTTATTAAACAGTTCCATTACAAAATTACCCAACTAATAGATATAAACAAACGCGCCTCTGTAAAACTCTCTTGATTTATTAAAGTTGTATTTCACCAACTCTATTGGGGTTGAACCCTACTTTAAAACGCTTATATATTACTGATCGGTTGTTAATTTGATTTCTTTCTGTTTTCTATTTTGTCTCCTTGATTCTCCTTTTCACTTAGTAAGAATTTTACATTTGATTCCTGATGCGCACTACTTATGTTTGTCCGCACAAGTAGCACATACCATAGTATCATAGTACTGCTCTAACATCATAGCAGTCGATTCTAATCAAGCCAAATAACTGAAGTTTAAACAAAGAACACAATAGTATGAAAAGGCAGCCGCCAAGTTAAGTTGTCACGTAAAATAGGACTAAAACAGTAGGTAAAACCCACTGAAAAAAGCAACTCAATAAGAAAACCAAAATTTTACGAAAAACACAGTAAAAATATTCATTAGAACCAAAATGAACAGAATGAACAATGTATCAAGAACACAAACCAAACATTTGAGGTTAAACTAAGAGTTTTCATTATTTGTAAAGCATATATAGATGGATTTTCATCACATTGTATATGTATTCGTAAAAAATGTATCGTGTAATAAGTTGTGGACGTTATATACGACTGTTTGAAAACATCGGGATGTTACCATGCATAATTAGTAAGTTGGACTGAATCTTAGAGAATAAACTCTATAGAATTCGCTAAGATAATCCAGAAGTTTGACTGGGCAATGACATGGGCCAATATGATAGGAAATTAAGTGTACTTGAACACCACTATCGGTGCAGCCACATATGTGTATTTGTTAGAGTAGGTTCATTTGCGTTGTTCATTTCTTGTTACATAAAAGCGTTCTTTAATATACAGTTCCTATTTGTCGTATCAAACTGATACAGTATCATTCATCAAATCAAAATGTTTTTAGTATTTAGAGAAAAAATACTCTTAGTAAGACGGAATTTATTGATGCTCTTTCCCAGTTATATTATCAATAATATTCCAAAGGCGAACTTGGAGGGGAACGATTACAGTTAGGAGGAACAGACGTAAATAAAGTATTATAAGAATTCTGAAAAGTTTACTTGCCGAAGG